CGTTCCTTTGCGGCATAATTGCAGTCGAGTCTCTGACTATGTCAGTCTCTATGTCTATCAGTTTATTGGTGATTGGTTTCGCTTGGGTGTGGTATCGACCAGTCATTGGTCTCTGTTTAGCACTAGCCTCCGTTTTGCCGTTTATTTATTCGACACTAACATCGGGATCTTCATCTCAGCAACGTGATAATTACAGGAGATTATAGATTATGTTTATTAAGTTACTTTAAAAGAGTGATTTATCTTAAGATGCATTAAATTATTAATTTTATACATTTATTTGATTTTTTTTTTCTCCATTTTCTTTCTCTTGTGTGCATATTTAATGTTCTTGTATATCCTTTAGGCTGCGCAAGTCGTCTTCGCCTCCATCGGGAAATCGGGCGCTCTTTCGATCGTTCGTGAGTGGAGTGTGTCCCAAGCCTGATCTCGTCGCTCGGTGAAACGCTCTTGCAAAACGATTAACCAATCGGGCTCACTCCCCGCACCCAATCTCGTCTGAGTCTCCCACAGCGAACTTCCTCGGTGCGGCAACAATCGATCGGATGCGGGACTCGAATATTTAAAGTAAGTAAATGAGAGTACTACTTAAAATAAAAAAAAATGTTATTTATACTTTTTAATACATGTATTAAGACTGTGTAGGAGCATAAAATTATTTATTAAGTGTATTTCTTCTGTACAAAGCTAGTTACTCATTAAAAAATTTTATGTCTTAAACAATGTTCACAAAATATCATGATATATCATCAGTCCTGTAAATAATTGATTCCTTCTGAAAATGCTCCATTGCATTCAAATGCGAATGTCGTTGATTCTTTTATAAGAAGCCCCATCGTTGAATGATATGATAAAGAATATGAATACATATATCCATTATTCACACGTTCATAGATTCATCATCATTATTAAAATAAAAAGTAATCTGACACTTACAGATACGATGAACAGTAGCCACACGAGTTGTAACTAAATATTGGCTAGGTTATTGGCTATAGCCCAACAGATAAAGCAGCTTTGCATCTTTTTTTAATATGAATAGACGCAGTGAAGGACTAAGGGCAAAAACTATTATAAAGAATTTTACAACAGATACAAAGTTTTCTTTAATGAACATAGTCATTATGTTTTAACCCATGTGTTTTAACATGACTTTAACGTTCATCGTATTTGGATCCACGTTATTCCAAAAATTCCCTATTATTGTATTATTAATAAATTATATAAAATATAGTCTAAACGGTCTTTAAAGAAACAATTTCTCATCTATGTCTCAATGAAACTATACGATTTATTATAATTTCCAATCGCATGTCAATTTCACTTTTTAATTGTTTGTGATAATTTTTCAAAATTAATTATCACTTAAATATTTTTTAAATTATCAGTCACTTATATCGACAGTCGGTAAAGCTACCGTAAATTTTATCAATTGTTAATAATTTGCGATCTGTTTTAAATATTCAAAAATCGAGAGCACTCAAGTTTACAATTGCAAGCTTGATCTTTTATATGCTATCAATACATCCGGAAAAAATTTGTACTTCAAACGGAATATTAGCTTTAAGGCTTTTGGTTCCACAAATGTACTAAAATTAACTTTAATCTCGGTTTTTAACTTATTATTTATCTTTTTCTAATCCATACAATTAGGAAAAGATAAACAGTAAAAATTGAACCAAGATTAAAAAATTAATCTTACATTAGACCGGGCTTCAATCTCACATTATTTAATATACTTATGCCTTCGACCCCCTTCAATGTCATTGCAAGTTGCGTGCATAAAGATGTATGTAAGTGTGTAGGTACGTATCACTATCAAGCGTGTGACTCATCCTTTCTCGCACGCGCGGATGTCGCCTGAGCCTGACGTTGTCGAAGATGGCGACGAATGGCGGTGTACGTCTCCTGCTCCTAGGAGTTTTGTGTACTTTTCTCTTGAAACTATGCAATGGCGCGGCGACGGACATCAAATTGGACGCCAAGGCTCAGCTGTTGCACCGGCTCGACAGTCTCAATCTTCTGCTCTACACGTTCCTATTGATTTTAACCGTTTTAACAATATGGATGTTCAAGCATCGTCGCTTGAGGTTCCTCCATGAAACTGGTCTGGCTGTCATCTACGGTGAGAGTCGTCTGCTATCAACAATTTTTAGCTCTTTCTTTTTTCTTGTTAATACACGAATGTAAATACGACATAAGCAAATTGCACGAGTATGTATCGTCAAGGGCACGTATCACGTTCTTTCATTGTACCTCCGTCTATTTATGGAATGACAACTTGCAAATTTTACACATTTACTTAACTCGTATACTTGTGTTACGAAATCCCTGTCCCAACTTTCAATTTTTTTCGTTAAAATTATTTTTCCTTTTATGTATAAATTAACTGAAAAAAATAAGTATTATTACAGACTTTATTACAAAATAATCAAAATGAGAGTCTAGTTATAAAAGTCGATGATCATAATATTATTGGTAATCTAACGATAGAATATGATCTAATGAAAAGCATTTTATGAGATTAACATTTGTGAAGTTTTTATAAAACAATTATAAAATAATAAATTTCTTAGAAGATCTTATATAGATATGTGTTTTATTATTGTTCTTAAACATTTGGATAAGTTAATTTTAGTTTGATAACAATGAATAAAATTCAAAGTGTCTTAATTTTTAAGACTTTTATAATAAAAATTTGTGAATGATTTCATAGCTCATATTATTCTTATTTTGGAATCTGAAATAAAATTGAGTACATCATTAAAACACATTCTTAAATATAATTTTATTTATTGCTGCTGATAACATGTTAAATAATTCTGTTTATTTGGGAAACTGCAAGATAATTGTATTTATTTAGGATAAAATTGCTTGTTACAGGCTTAATCATAGGAGCGATAATACGTTATGGTTTCACGACGAGCAGCACTATTCTGCATATGCCGGTGGTTCCAGATAATTCCAGCAAATACAATCAGTCTGTACCACCAGATACGCTATGGTTACGTTTCCCGGAAGACAAGGGTGGTGGTGTCGTGAAGAACAAAACATTCGCGTACTCGTTTCGTGGCGAAATTTACAAGGAAGATAATGAAATCGATTTGAAGGTGAGTCCTTCGTGAGATGACAAGTTACAGCATTTGTCTAAAGAAAATTTTTAGCAAACAAATTGTTAGCAAATTGTTGCCATGTTGGCATCAAACTTACTCAGAGTTGGTAACAAATTCAGTGCCAGATGTACCAACAATAAGTTCATGTTTTGTTAGCTGGCATATCAAGACTGGCGTATCAAACAGTAAATTAGCAGCAAAAGCGAGCTAATCTTTAGTTCGCTTTGTTTTTGGTCGATTTTCGCTATGAGCTTGTCATCAAGCTTTACACAGTTTCGCTAAATTGGTCTCATGTTATGTCAACAGTTTTTGTTATATATCTGCCACCAATTTGCTGACATTGAATACAACAGAATTTGCATCTAATTTGGTGCTTTTTTGTTTCGATAAAATTTGGAGCAAGTCTTTGACAAAATTTGTTTTCGATAGACTTAGCTAATTGGGTTGTTTATTGATTTTTAAATAAACCTATGTAATTATTACATTAAACTTGAAGTCATTTTGCTTTTAAAACAGTTTATTTAATGGATGTAATGGTTGTTGTTGCAGGCAACTTTTGATCCTGAAATATTTTTCAATATCATATTGCCTCCCATTATCTTCCATGCTGGATATAGTTTGAAGCGTGTAAGTATATTGATGTGCTTATTTCTTTGTTGGAAAGTCATAATAATGGGATACACACCATGTGGTTCCTATTTATAACTCTTTGATAATCGAATTCTTACAGAGATACTTCTTCAGAAATTTAGGTGCAATTCTTATGTATGCTTTGATAGGAACCTCTATATCAGCTTTTGTTATTGGGTAAGCTTCTTCTTTAATGTTATCTTATTGTGGAAATCTTGAGAAAAAGTATTAATTTATATGTCACATGTCTGTTATTATAGATTTTGTATTGTTATTGATATATATTCTCTCTTTCTTTTATTTTCTTTTTTTTTAAAGGTGCCGTTTTCACATATTTCATACTTAATTATTTTTTAATTATTGCATGTTTATGGCTGTTATCAGACTCTTGGCAACAAAGTATGTTTATAGAAAGTATTGCAGATCTTTGCATAGCTCGTACTTTGACCGAGCTTATCTACTTTCTGTCTCACCACTTATAACTAAAAACAGTTCGTGTTTTCCTTTAACGACTTGTAAATTTTATTTTAATGAATCGATATCGTATTATCTGTATAGAGCTCTGATGTATGCCTTTGTACAATTGATACCACATCTCTCCACGTCGTTCACGTTTCTGGATACCTTATACTTTGGCGCTCTAATATCGCCTACGGATCCTCTGACAATAATATCCATCTTCAACGACCTACATGTAGACGTTAATCTGTATGCTTTGGTATTCGGCGAGAGTGTATTGAACGATGCGGTCGCCATTGTACTTAGTGGGTTAGTATACAGAAATTTTACAGAATCAATCCTACTTTATTTTCCCTGATTTTTGGATTCTTTAGCGAAATCGATTTTTTCTGCAAAGAAATCCTTGTGACAGAAAAAATTAAGGATTCGAAATTAGCCAAAAAAGTTGCGTTATACTGAGAAAAAGACACTTAAAAATTTATTCATGAAATGACAATCTTGTGTTTCGAAACACAAGATTGTCATATAGGAAACACCCGTGAAAGCCTCAAGAATATTATTCATGAAATGTTTACTTCACTGAAATAAAGGTTTATTACGGTGAAAATTTTATTTCTAGCAAATAAACCATCTATTTTGTTTTTTTTTACAATTAATGAAATATATATTTCTCAGAAATGTATATTTTGTCACTATAGACAAATTTTTGTATAATCAATAAATATCCGAGAAAATGTCACGTGTAACTTGCGAATATTACGGCTTTTTTTCTCAGTGTATGGATTCAATAAAAAGTGGACGTTACATGGAGTTATTTAACAATAAATTGCAGCTATAACTTAGATATACTTTCAATATAAATGCAATATTGAAAATATTCTGATATTTCAATTCAGCTCAATACAGAATTACGCGGAACGATACCAGTCGGGATCGGGTGGTTTCGAAACCGTGGCGTTCTTCCAGGCGTTCGGAGACTTCGTTGAAATATTTAGTTTGTCCCTCTTTATCGGTGCTACGATGGGGTGCATCACTGCATTATTGACCAAGTTTACCAGGGTTCG